AGGAGGAGGGGAGCATGGCCATACTTACAAATTTATTGTGGTTGAAAAGGGTGATTATAACAATGGGGGTCTCTGTTTTCAACTCTTCTTTTTTCCCATCAATAATGAGCTGGTCAAACAGAAGTAGCTCGTTCCACATGGGGCTCAGTGTCTCCTCCAGCATCTGCAGAGACAGGAGGCCTGAGTGTACCACAGCCAGTGGAAACAAACCACACGCACTTTGCAAAGAGAGTGGGGAAGCGTGGGCTGATCCACTCCCCCAGGCAGCTGCTCACAGCTGGTGCCTGGCAGGAGGGGAGATGGTCAAAGTGCAAAATCAGCACTTGGGGCCAACTAGCACATGCCAATCAACCTTTGAGACCATGTTCAATGACATATATGTCTTGTCAAACGTTCCCTGAACATAGTCACACCACCCAGCACACACATGCACCTCGTGTCTGGAGTTACAAATTTTCCAGGAGGACTGACACAGCACTGGTCTTCAATGTGTGAGTGAGGACATGACGGTTTTTCTCTCCCCAAGTCCCCAAGAAGGTAAAGGTAAGGGTTTAAGTGGTCTCACCCTGGTGGTCTGGCAATAAGTTGAAAACACCACTCTTGCAAATGGATCTGAAAGGCCATTGTCATCTGCAGGTAGGATCCCTCGAGCCTGATACAGATGGGCTCGGAGCTGGAAGTAGCTGAAATCTGGTAAGAAAAAGAGAAGAGAGATCCCAGTTCCCCAGTCCATCCCTGTGTGAAGCCAAAAAATGCATGAAGAGGGCCAGGCAGGTAGCAGTGGGCACATCCTGCAAGGAACAGGTACCACATCTAGGGGCACTCGCTGTGCTTCTCAGAAGGCCAGTACATCTCAAAAGGTTTGGACAAGCAAAACAAGCTAAGTGGGCTTCCCAGGCATCTATGGGAAGGACATGACATGCGAAAAGTGCAATGATCTGCTGTGGAGGAGCACCACCAGGCCTCAGCAAAGGGGCAGACTTCATGCTCATTGCCAGTTTGGCAGCACATTCAGTGCCCATGAAGCACCCATCCTGCATGATGCTCCAGCTGTGAGTGTGCAAACACATCCTCATGAGAGCAAACTGGACCTGCCTGTCCCAGTCATGCCTTGGAGATGATGTGGAGATGATAGATCAGGTCCTACTCCTCAGACACTGACCCTGGGGCAGGACCTCTCACCTCTCTGCTCTCCTACTCACACTTAAGCTGTGGAAAAGTGGCATCTGCACTCACCGTCCCTGCTGAGCCGGCTGGGAGGACTGTACACCGAGAGCTGGGCTATCTCCTGCCCACTCTCAGAGAGGTACTTGAATTCTTCAGGCAGCTCCAGCAAACAGTTCTTCGCATATTTGGTTACCCCAAGCCACATGTAGATTTCCAGCTTGGCAAAGATCTCACCAGTGTGTAAGTGAGGGACCTGAAAGAACAGGAGGTTTAGCAGGTTTCCCCTCTCAGCCATGTCCCCTTCAGACCAAGATGATCACCATCAGCCAGTGACCAACTGAAGAGCATAGGAGACAGAGCACCCCATTGGCAGAGGCAAAACAAGAGCTGTGTTTCCTTGCAAACTCCAGGACTTCAGGAAGGAGGGATGGAAGCAAGGAGGGAGAAGCAGCATGAAGCAAACAAGAGCATGCCCTTTTGGTATAAACCCTACCTTCATAAAGACAGTCTGGATCTTGGCACAGTCCTTGCCTTTCTCCTCTTCGACTACCGAGTAGAGGATGTTCTGTGCAGGAACTCGTGCATATGCCACACGCCTGTTATTGCTGAGCATCCAGATGAGGACATCAGGGAGGGTGCACTGGGGCTGGAGGGAGGAATGAGAGAAACATCACAGCAGAGGAACAGCACATACCTTGTCCTCCCTTCACTGACATGGTGAAAGCTTCGTCTCCTCGCAGGAGAGACTGCTGGCTCCATGGTACTTTGGAAATCCAGAAGCAAATGAAGAGCCTAACACTGGAAACATGCTTCTGCAAGTCTCAGCCCTGGAATATGGCTCTGCAGGTTTCTTGGAGGGATCTGTGATCCGCCTTGTTTTTCATTGTGAACACCAGCAGGATGCATTCAACTCCATGCCATGTTGGGAAGAAGAAGCCTCCACAAGACTGGAGAAGCGGCATTTTACCCCACACCTTTGACAGGAGCCCAAGTTCTGATCCATGGGGAGGAACCACACTGTCTGGCATCCCAGCAACATGAGTGCCCAGCATAAAGCTGTGGTTTGGGTTGAGAGCAGGACTTGTAAAAAAGTAAATGCACAGATGGAAGCAATGACTTCTTTTAAACTCCAGCCTAAGTTCTCTTCCCCATCTTGGTTTCCCTGCCATTAGTGTTTGCACTTGTACTTGGTACCTGTACTTGCAATTTTTCAGCAATTTATTACTGATCCAAACCAAGAGCACCAGCCTCCAAGCAGGGACAAAAAGTGGCAAGTGTATGTGCAGGGCTGGGTCTACAGAAACAGCAACATTCCCACCCAACTGCAGGGAGCAAAACGGGAGGAGGTTCCTCTCTGGGGGATCAGCTGCAGCCAGCCTGTGAGGACAGCTTCTCCTCCTGTTGGGGCGAGGGCTGACACCTTGGTCATGCTAAAGTCTACCCTCACATAGCTAAAGGTGGGAAAATGATTTGACTTCACTTTGTGAAAGAATTCTCCAAACTGCACCAACATCTGTCCACCTAACTCCAGCAAACATTGTACTCTGGTTTACACTACACGAATGCCCTGATTTTCCTGAGTTACTGAAAACAGAGCCAGGGAAACTCTGAAGTGGAGTCTCTGCCATGGAGGAGAGACTTTATTTCAATGCAAGTTTGACTTGCACGAAGAGTCCAGGGTCAGTCCCTGGTGGGAGCGCAGGCAGCACGGGCAAGGCTGTTTTCCCAGGCAGACTGCCTGCAGCAGGGACAGCCTTGGGCAGAGAGGGCAGGGGGGTCCCTGCCATAAGAGCCATTACATGAAATATGGTAACTTCCAGCGGCTGGAAATTGAGACAGGACAGCAGAGGAGAAGCCCCAGCTCAGGTGAGCAAGAGCCCTGGCAGCCAGCCCAGCGTCCTCTCCTTGCCCACACTTTCCCTTGCTCAGAAACGGGGTGCCCTGGGAGCAGCTGTACCTCTTTAGCCATGAAGCGTAGCTTTGTCAGGATCCTCCTCATCTCCTTCACCTTCTCCTTGAGGTTGGCTCGAGTTAGCCGCCGCCTCACGCGGAGCCCCTGCTTTGCATACAGGATCTGGACAGAGAGCACTGTCATCAGGAGCCCGGCCGTGACCCAGGCATGCCACACTGGCACCTGCGGCTGGGGCTCTGCGAGGAAGGACCACGGGTTGACCACATCCATCCTGCCCCATCGTGCCCTGACCTCCACCACTGCTCACTCCCCAGATGCTGAGAGCAAACCTCCATGAACCTTGCTGGCTATTTAGTGAAGGGTGCCAAGAACTGAAGACTCCAGTAACTTATCAGCTCTGTCAATACCAGACAGTAAAGGAAGTCCATGAGCAGCATCATTTGAGGCAGAAAGATGTATAAAGAATAAACATTTCAGAAGCTGATGGTCTAAGGCTCCAGATAGTGTCTGGAGAAGGCTTTGCAGAAGAAGCAGCTTGGGGCCACAGAAGTATGGGAATATGAAGATGTCAGAAACTGGAATATGGGGCTGGGCTTTCATGTCCAGTAGCTGATGGTATACACATCTGAGGGGAGACGTTGTGATGAACCGAAACTAATAATGAAATCCAGAAGGAATTTAGGGTGCAAACCTACTATGGACTGACAGGTGGCTTATACTCAAGGATCTCCTCCTCCAAGCTCATGAGCGACGCATCCCAACAAAGAGGAAGGCGGGCAAAAACACCAGGAGGCCTGCATGGATGGACAGGAAGATCCTGAACAAAAATGAAGCCTATAGAGGGTGGAAGGAAGGACAGGTAGCCTGGGAGGAATACAGAGAAATTGCCCAAGTGGCCAGGGATCAGGTTAGGAAAGTCAAGGCCCTGACAGAATTACATTTGGCCAGGGATGTCAAGGGCAACAAAAAAAGCTTCTATAGCTATGCTGGGGAGAAAAAGAGAACTAGGGAAAATGTGGGCCCTCTCCAG